GAAATTAGGTCTTGACCTGACTTTTTGAAAAATAGCACAAAGTAAATTGAAAACATAAATGGATACGTGTTTTTGAGAGCAGTTGGAAGAACTGCCTTTCAGCATAATGAAGATGGAGGATGTTTGTTCTGTCAGAGACAAACATTAAAATTAATGACACCAATCCAAAAGAGAATGAATTATTCAATTTTTAAAGAACATATGATATGTTCGCTCCATTGGTATGTGTATGAAGGGTGTGACTCCACTCAAAAACAATTTGCCTAAAGCTAGGGGCACAGAGACCAAACAGCAGGTCCAGGGGTGCCTGTCCACTCTACCAATCAGAGGAGACAAAGATGTAGGAACCCTGTACACACAGCAGTACTGTCCTCCTGGGTCCCACAGGCCAGCGTCTTTCCTCCCAAGAGTCTTGGCTGCTCTCCTTATTCTTCACACAGTTTCCCAACCTGCTCCTGCCCTCCCCTTTCTGGCCCTTTTCACCACTTGTCCGGTTACAGATATATGGGTGTTTCCATCTAGCAACAGCTAGGGAATGCTGAGCTAGCACAATGCATTAATCAGAGGTGACACTACCGGTCCTTAAAATTCAGCTCCGCTTGCTGCAGGGCCAACTGCTGCGTTGCTCATTATTGTTTGAGCCCGTTGAAAACTCCAACGTCCCAGAAGCCTAACCAAAACCAGATCCCTTGGGTGTTTCTGTCCTCCAGCGCAAAGAGCAGCCTAGTGACGTGACTGTTTACGTGAACTAGACTCAGATGAAGAGCAAAAGTTAAACATAGTATAGTTACAGACAACATGTGCAATTTAGGCACAATCAATCAATAGCCCAACCCACACAATGGTAATTAAACGTAAATGTTCAAGAAAAGTATCTCTGAATATATGACAGCAGTAAAGTTCACATGGTTTCAATCTGCTAGATGCTCTCAGGGACTGCAAAATGCCATCAAAGTGATCTCAGAAATCTGCCCAGGTCTGTGCCGCTCAGGACTGGCCTATTTAAGATACCAAACCACCCCGAGCTACAGTTTCTGTATCAAAATAACACCTACTTTGTAAAGTGCTTTAGGTATGTAAGATTACTATGAAATGAAAGTTACATATGTATATATGCACATATGTGTATAAATAATATGTGAACATATGTGTATAAATAGCTTATACACACATATGTCACATACATGTATACACATATATCACAGCGATAATATATATGCATATATCATATATTATAATAAAACAACCTCTCATGTTCATCACATGGCCACTGCCTGTACCATTACGCCATTGTGCCCATTTCTCTCTTCTCTCAGCTCCCTAGTCCCTCTGTTCTCTTTGCTGAGGAAGCTGAGAGTCCTTCTGGTCCTCCATTTCCTACAGGAGAAAAGTAATGAAATCTGCATTTTGTTCAATATGTCCAGCAAGGAATAAATGCTTTTCAAAGTCTGCTGCTGTCCCTTCCAATCTGTTTACTCAAGTGGCAGTAACATGGACAGATCAGAGAGAGGTGTGATTTTGTGGTAAAAATAGTCTTTACTTGAAATGCAACTCCAATCTTCCCTGTGCCTTTTCAGCTCCAGGCAGCTCTGCTAGCTGGGAGGGCTCTGTTCCTCAATTTGCACCTTGCTGCTGGATCCCTTTGATGACACAGCTCGCATGATAAAGCTGGCATAATCAGGTAAAAATTATCCTTATTTTCTTGTGCTGGTAAATGTATCTATTTCACAGCCTGCTCTTAACTGGTGTTCTTTCTTTATCTGTCTTAGGAAGCACCCTTTCCTCAATTCCTTGCATGTGTTAAAATTGCTTCCTTACTTAACATGTTTTCAAGGCTGCTTTAACATAATATTTTGTGGGGATTTTGTTGTTGGATTAGAGAGAGACAGGAATTCCCTGTGTAGCCACAGCTGACCTCAAACTTGACATCCTTGCACCTGAATCTCCTAAGTGTCGGGAGGATATATTGCCACATCAAGTTTATCTTAATATTTTTAATTTATTTCAGATACTATATATATATATATTCTTTTCAAACTATGTATATATAGTTTGAAAGTAATCAGATGCAAATAACTTGCAATTATAAAATGATAATGATGAAAACGTATTTGTTTTCAAGATGATCCGAAGGCAAGGTAATTCATGGGAACCTGGGAAGGGAAAGAGTCCTTCCCCCGGGGTCTGGGTGACATCTATCACCAGCTGAGGAACAAGAAGTCCAGTTCAAGCAGCAACATTTGTGGAAAGGATGCTGGCACAGAAATGCCATTGCTTTTAAATACAGCTGTTTTGTTTTAAAATCCAAATGAGCTAGGCTTCATGTCTGAATATATATGACCTTGGGCAGGGCATTCTTCATTCCTTCAGATCATTTCTAAGTAACTCAAGCAAAACTGTTAACTTTGTTTGCACTGGGGAGCCTGCCTCTTTGAATCTAGAGATTTACCGTTCTGTCAACAGCCCCTCTGAGCTACCTGGTGGTCTCATTGGGATCCTTAGCCAAACTTCAAAGATAATAGATTCAAACCCATTAAAATCCTAGACAAGAGTACTGTAGAGAAAAGTCCACACCCATACTCTCAGCCATCTTACTTCCTTCTGAGGTCCTGTCTTTCTCTTAACCCTCATGCTTAAGCCTGTATTAAAATGTGAGGCTGTGAGGTGATTCACTGAGTTTAAATGTGTAGGGATGGAAAGGCTACATATCTTACCTCAGGCCAGATATGATACAAGCCAACCTCTGAACCCTGGTCTGTTTAAGACAAAGCCCAACTTCATTCCACGCATAGAATTTCTTCAGGTAAGATCATGAAAATGCTAGTTAATGTCACATCAGGAAGTCGTGATAGGAAAGCGAATTTCAAAATGATGTGTTGTAGACATTTACAGATGGAGAAAGACCATATTTAAAGATGCCCACAAAGAATATGGACACAGAAGTAGCCAGGGGGATATATGAGCCGTAAGTGGAGAAGGTCAATCCTTCCATTTGACTGCCTCAGCTAATGAAAGAGACACATTCGTAGGATGATGCTGAGGACAGCCCAAGGCCATCGAATCCTGAGCCAAGAAGTGGGGATTTTATTCCATCGATGTTGGGGAACACTTCAGACACTTGAGAAGAGGAATGTGTTTCAAGAAAAGTTAAATGAAAAGATACTCCAGGCAATCAATTTCTGCTGAGAGAGGAAGGATGCTTTTCTCCTATCTCTTGATAGGCTAACCAATCCTACATGGTCAGCCCTAAACATATGACATGTATACACAGCCAATGACAATCACTGAAGGGCACACGCCTAGACACACAACCACACACAGGCACATGCTATGTCTATGCACCCACACATGCACAAAAACAACCACACAGAGACACACACATGCATACCTTTGGAACTATAATAATTGAAGATGAGACCATGAGCCGGAGACTGGGTGTGTCAGGGGGTAAGGGGGACTCAAGCACAGACACTTCAGCTGGGGTGAAGAATTACTACATTACCTCAGTGCACTGAGGATGACAGTGAGGTTTATCTCAAAGCAGAGCCCCTTGGAAAGGGCTGAAGAACACTCAAGAAGTCAGAGGACTATCAAACGTGGCCGGGGAGGGGGGAACAGTATTTTACCTGTTTTTCTCCTGTGCTTTGTATGAAAGTCCTAGTCAATAGTTAGCAGCTTAAAAAAAAAAAAGAAGAAGATACTGTAAAATTTAATCAGGATGCTGTTAAAAAGTTTGAGCTATACTGCAGGAGATAGGACCGTTCTGACTCAAAGTGACCTGTATTAGAAATAAATATTATACTAGAGAAAGGGTAAAATAAGAGAAAATGAAGCTAACAGATGAAGCTATTTAAGTAACTAGATATTTTTAAATTGAAATTTTTTGGGGGGAGAACAAGTATACAGTGAAAAACTTGAAGGATATTTAATGATAAGTTCAAAAGAACAAAGAACCCAGTTGTTGGTTCCGGGCTCACTCAGCCACTGCCCTCAGCTGCCCAGCCTTTCTCTTGCCAGTAAAGACAAAGTACATATAAAAGTGAAATCCACATACAAAGCAAATCCATACAATTTAGATAAAAGGCGATAACATGCTACAAAATCAACAAGATGAAAGAGCAAACTAAAAATTCAGACTAGATAAGATAGAGTAGAAAAGATAATGAAACAGAAAAGATTAAAGAAGTTTAAAGTACATAAGCCAACTTAAAGGGGATTCTAGGAAGATAGATCAAGGCTGGTGGATTCACTCAAAAGGACACCTTTCAGAAAAAGAAACAATGCACAGTCCTTGGGGTTAACCCTTGGGGCAGTCTGGCCTGTCAGCTTGGAGCATTCCCTCTGCCAGATTTCCTCCTAGGGTTTCTAGGCTCCAGTTCATCATCCACCACCAAGAATGAAAACCCTGGCAAATACCCGAGGGTGTAGAACTCTGAAGCCTTTGTCCTTGGGAAGAATAGCATCATTTCTAGTAACTGGGTTTCTTCAGCTACTTGACATAGTAGCATCATAATGCCAGCCAGTAGTTCTAACTTCAAGTTCACAAAGTCTTTCCAACACAAACAAGGAGACTCCAGTTGGAAACACAAAGACTAGTTCTTAAATATGTGCGTAGGGGTGGAGCAGCCAGGGAAGGCTCTGCCATGATAGTCTCCAACTATCCAGGATATTCAAATATCCTAGAATATTCCAGGCTCCAACAGAAACTTAAACATGTCAGATTTATTCTCTTCTAGGAGTGAAACCGTTGATGTTAAAAAGAGGCAACTGACAGGTACGTCACAGAGAGGCCAATCAGCAAGAGCCAATACTAGAGAAGCAATTTGTGACCACAGCTAAGTAGACTATTGAAAAAAAAAATTGTACTTTGCACAGTAAATCTTATCAAGTTGTTGAGAAGCCAGTGACAACATTTCTTACGAGTTCCCAGTCTTGTGTTGGGGTGGGAGCTCCCATCTCCTAAAGGAAAGCAAAGGTCGTGGTGAGTTGTTAGTGTAGCAGGAGATGTTAACAACCAGCTTGAAGGCCAGTCCCCTCATCCTGCCCTGACTCAGCCATTGGTAAGTGGAGGGCCAAAATACCAACATGCTCCTTCAAGCTTTTCATCTGTCAAGTGCTCATAATTCTACTAACGTCTCGATGTCCTTTCGGTCAGCGTAGCTCAATTGCTTTAAATTTCCTTAATCTTTTGTTTTACTCCGTCCTTATCATTTTTATTATCTCTCATTTTGTCTGAATTTTTAACTTGTCTTATCATACTTAATTTGTTCCAAGCCAGCACGGTTAATCCAAATGGCATGTTTTTATCTTATAGGTCATATTCCTTGAGGAGTAGATGCAAAAGTCCGTGTCAATTATTAATCCGCAGAAATCATGATGCTTCAAATGTGGTAAATGTTTACCATCATTGTTTCTCTAATAGCAAGGGCTTGTTTGAAGTTTGGAAAAATACCATACTTGGAATAGCTGAAAATCACACAGGAGATCTCAAAATGGGAAGCAAGACCCGGAGAGCAGCCTAAACCCAGGGCAGATGGGAGGCGAATGACACGATGCAGCTGTGAGAGAAAATTCCTAATACCAACAGCTGACCTTTCTAAAGAAAGTTTTGACAAAATGTCAGTTAAAGATAAAGGGCACAAAAGTAATAAGAGCTAACATTTATTGCATGTGACGCGTCAGGCATGGTTCTAAGCTCTTTGCATTTATTAGCTTATTGATTCTTTTAACAGTGTTTGAGGAAGCGCCTGCTGCACACCAGGCTGCCCGTGGAAGATGCAGAGCCTTCTGCAAAGGTCATGTGGAGAAGCCAACACCCAGCACCAAACACAAGCATGGAGCTGATTGTCTTCCTAAACCCTAAACCCAACAATTCTCTTCTCCTGACGAAGAAACCCTAAATCGACTCCCTCCCTGAAGAGCACATTGGGTGGATAGTCTTTCCTTTAACCCGTATTCCCTCAGGATTTCTGAGCTCCCACTTGTTTCTGTGAGCTTCAGGGCTGTACCAGTTGCTTTGTTTTTCTTGAGCTGTCTGAGCTCTTCCTGAGCTGTCTAGGTGAGAACAGCTACATCCAAAGCTCTAGAGCTGTGGTTCTCAACCTTGTTCACACTGCGACCCTTTAATACAGTTCCTCCTGTTGTGCTGAGCCCCAACCGTAAAATTATTTTTGTTGCTACTTCATAACTGTAATTTTTTACTGTTATGAATCATAATGTAAACATTTGTGTTTCCCTGTGGTCTCAGGTAACCCCTGTGAAAGGGTTGTTCAACCCCCTAGAGAGGTTGTGGACCTCAGGTTAAGAACCACTGCTCTAGAGAAACAAAGCAAAAGCATGGATCAGGATCTACTCAGCAGGGCATATCCTTAATGTAGCACGTGAGATATAAAGGCATGAAGGTGAAGAACTTTAAGGAAGCCTGGTTACACAGTGAGAATCTACTTAAAGTACACACACAGTCAACCAGTCTGTCTCTGCCTTTGTCTATCTGTCTCTCTCCCTCTCCCTTTCTCTGTACACAAGGGGACTGTCTTTATTTCATATTTATTACACTGAAACTTTTATTTACTTTTGGAATGATTTAGAATAGATATGTACTTGTATGCATGTATACACACACACACACACACACACACACACATATATATATGAAACACTATGAATAAAAGATTATTTTGAAATAGGTTTTTTTTTTTTTCAAAAAAAATCAGGCTCAATAGATAGAAAACTTGCATTTTAATTGGCATTTCTAAGAATTCAACCATCTACAGCCATAACACACTGACTATACCCAATCAGGCCAGTTGCTTTTCAACCATCTCCACCCTCTCCTGCCATTTTTATGACATAGGCATAAAAACATAAGATTTGCAACAATCTCAAGGGAGGAAATGACCTCATGGCTGAGAAAGACACCTTTGAGAAATGTAAGAAAAAAATCAGATGAGCAGTGAATTCACCAGTTGGTGTGGAATGGTCGCTCCCTCTCACAGAGCGCTATAGCACAAAAAATAGCAAAAGAATATTGTCATCGCCGTCCCTACTCACTGATTTATGAAGCAGGGCTCCAGGGGTCCATCACAACTGGAATCCCAAAGTCACAATGCTGCATTGCCTAATCAATTCATAGGGTAACCCTTCTACATCAGTCAATGAAAACCAGCACTCATTTAAATTTCATTGTGAAAGAATAGCTTTTAAGGAAGCCCTTAATCAAATGTAATCAATCTAAAGGGTGGTAAAGGATCCATTTAGCCATTTATGCACATTAATACATGGTAACCTTAATTGGGGCTGGCCATGGGGCATCTTATTTACCGAATCAAGTTCTCTTTAATCCAACAAACTTCTTGTTAATACCTATCTGATCCTGACCCATTGCAATGATCAAGAAGGCCCTGAACTTTGTCTTTCCACATTCTTCCCTACAGTTATAGAGAAGAATGACACAATACTTTGATGTCATACATGGATTCTTTCTTACCTGGTTCCTTGCTAACAAGACATTTGAAAACTACAGAGTCACACTCAAGAATCACGAAGCAGCAATACCAGGCCACCGAAGAGGACAAGGCAGCCATTCCTGATGAGACCTAATTGACTAGGATCAGAAGGAAGGAAAAGAAGTCCTCCCCTATCAGTGGACTTGGGGAGGGGCATGTATGCAGAGGGTGGAGGAAGGGAGGGATTGGGATGGGAGGAGGGAGGGAACCATGGGGGGGGATACAAAGTGAGTAAAGTGTAATTAATAAAGAAAAATAAAAAATAAAAAAAAAAGAATTACGTAGCTAAGCTAGCATTAATATTCTAAAATTTGGTCCTCCTTGTATTTCTGTAGATTGGTAATATATTGAGATTTTATTTTCTGTGTTGTTGTTATCTTTTGGGGCTTCTCTTACATAGGGGAATGTACAAGGCCTCCTAGAGAATTCAGAGTTCTAAAGCAAGGAGAAGAAATGGAAACTAGCAAACTCTACTGGCATTGACCTACAAAGCAGGCAATTAACATGAAAGCAAAAGGGCTAAGAAGATGCTGGAATAGTTTGTGACAAGATTAGAGACCATGGCGAGAGTACAGAACTACATGTTCCTCCTTTAAGGTACTGATTATGGGTCACCTGGGAGTTGGGACAAGTTGTAGGAGGGGTGAGGTGGTCAGGGGATGGCCACACTAAAAGGGACACATTCAGAGTATTTATGTGGGAATGGAGGCCCATATCCCCCTTCCTCCTCCTCATACATCAGCCCTGCATGTTTAACCAAGGTCTATAGAGCCCAGTGCCAACAAGCCATCACGGTTTTCATCTGTGCGAGGAGAGGCCAGACAGCTTTCTTCCTGAAAATAGGCCTTCCAATGAAAGTAGGAAGCAGGCTAAATAGCCAACACCCTTCCCCAAAATTAAAAATAAAAAATAAATAGATAGATAGATAGATAGATAGATAGATAGATAGATAGATAGATAGATAGATAGATAGACAGATAAATAACAAAATAAATAAATAAATAAATAAATAAATAAATAAATAAATAAATAAATAAATGAATAAATAAATAAATAAATAAATAGCAAAATGGGGGAGCCTGCAATGTCTACCCCGGACAAAGGTAAATAACTTGCATTTTCATATCTTCCTAATGATTTTGAGAAGCTAACCGGATGTCTTTTTGTTGTTGTGAAAAGATGTTTAATTTCCATTTAGCTTAGAAAAACAAGCCCTAAGGAATTGCTTTATATCTGAAGTATTTTGAAATATATATATTTATATATATATTCCTCATTTAAGCTTGAGACGACAGGATTATGACTTTAATTAACATAAGAAAGATGACTCAGAGCTTTACAGCTTTTTGTCACCGTGATCATATTGTACCAAAGCATTTTATTCTGAGAGCTGCAAAGAAATGATTTTGAATGAGCTTGACATGCAGTAGCGAGCATCAAATTGACAGACATATGGACAAAAATATGTATGGGGTACGTATGGAGAGAGTTAATGGCATCATTTGCTCAGCCTCAAACCCTTTGGGGAACAGACAGTTCAGCTCTTCCAGCTCTGGCAAATTGGTGCTCCATGTGTGAGAAGTGCTCCTTTCACCCTGTCTCCAGTCCCATCCATCAACTTCAATGCATCTCCCTGGAGGATGCCCGAAGGAGCACAGGGAACTGGCTCGCTGCCTCTCTGCTGCTTCCCAAAGGGCTTGGCTGGTCATGGGTTACCATGTGACCGCGGGAGAGCTTCCCTCTAGGGAAACTAGCAGACCTCTAGCCTGAAAACCAGAGTGTCTGAATCTCTATTTTTTTTTTAATCTGCACATGTGCACAATGCTATTTCTGCTTTATCAATAATGGATTGATAGCACTAGGCTTATAACCCTCCTCTGTAACTTGCAGATCATTTGTGACTGAATTCGGGAAACCTGGCTTCCAGTGTAAATATTAGTGTACCTTCCTCTTAAGTCCGTGCTCACCGTTCTTGATTTCCTCCTTTCTCCTGTTGCTCCATTTTATAACCTTGGTGCATGGTAACTGATCTAGGAATTTTCATTGATTAAATAATAAGTCAAATTGTGGCTCTGGGCCTACTGCTATTGTCTTTTGAAATTTAATCAGTCATGTAAGTAAACAAGAGTGGGCCAGATCACTTCTGAGTTGTCTTTCAAGATACAAAATGTCCCATAGTTATACCATTAGCACCTCACCTACCTGTGGGGAGGTGTGCAAGAGATTGCAGTGCTCCCAGAAGCCAGAAAATGAGGCTGGGTGCTCTGGAGCTGGGTTGGCAGGCAGTGTGTGCTGCCTGAAGTGGGTCCAGCCCCAAATATGTACTCTTTTAATCAGTGGGAAAACATATTTTATAATTTGCTAATGAACATTACGGTTTAAAGCTCCTGATTGTCTAAACAATGGCTACCAGATGGTAACTGGGCCCTTATCTTTGGAACCTGTGAAAGTCGTTTTATACGGAAAAAGTGGCTTTGCCAAATGTGACTGAACTAAGCTTTTGAAATAATCAGCATTCAGTATGTGGGCTCACTTCACGTACGAACACAGATATTCTTATAGACAAGGGGGTATTTGACATTGCGTGTCTGAGTAAAGGTCCCAAGCAACTGACCAAGAGCCATGAAAGGCGCAGTGATGCTAGCCACAGCCCACCAAAGGCAAAGAGATGCAGAGCAGGTCTCCCCCGCAACACTCCACAAAGGCCTGCTGACATCACCACTGTCGTCCAGTGAAATTGATTTTGGACCTCCAAAGTTATAGGAAAAATAACATTACGCTGCTCTAAGCATTCTGGTTGAATTGATGAATTACATTTAAACACTGTCAAGAAACTAACACAAGCATAAACTGTTTTGTGATAGAGGTTCCAATGAGTTCTAAGAGTCTATTGCATTCATCTAGTATCTTAGCTGTGTTTCTCTTCATTGTGACAAAAACAAAAACAACTTCACAAGATGGGATGGGAGTGTTTACTTCAGCCTACAGTTCGAGGAGGAGACATAGTCATCACGGCAGGCAAAGCCTCGCAGCAAGGTCAGGAAGTCAGGTGGTGCCATTGCTCCCACTGGCAGGAAGCAAAGATTGAGTAGGAAATGGTACTCGGCTACAGACTTCAAAACCCACCCCCACGTACTCACTTCTTCAAGCAAGGTTCCACCTCCTTGAGGTTCTCCACCCTTCCCAGAAGAACATCGGCTGAGGACCAAATACACACAAGCACCAAACACATGAGTCTAGGAGGGGCGTTTTATTTTATTTTTTTAAGAAAGAGAGGTAGGATGTGAATTTGGATGGGTGGGGAGATGGTGAGGATCTGGGAGGAGTTGAGGGAGGGAGAAAACTTTATCAGAACACATTGTACTCAAGTTTTTTCATTTAAAGAAAAAAGAAGAAATGGAAACAAACAGCCTGCTTT